TATGTATATCACGTACCACATTTCCAACCTTCTTAATTTCATTTCCTTTTTTTTTTCGTATACCAACAATGGCTACTCCACTTTCTTTCAGTCCTCACTAATTTTATGCCGTTTTCATCTTACGATTTATGTCTCACATTAAACGAAATAAGATTAATGAGAGGAACTGGATGATCATGTCCCTGTTATTATGAGAATTTAAGATGGATATACAATAACAAAAAGTTCCAGCAAAGCGCAAACACAACCTAAGCTAACTTAAAGTAACCTAACAATATGAATAATTATATTGACAAATTTTGAAATTAAAAATTTAAAGTTCGTTCGGATTTTTGTATGATCTCAAATAAGCATTAATTCGTAAAACTGAAATCCCCATAAATTCAGAGATACCAATTACCAAACCATCATTGAAGTGTGCTGTTCAATTGTTCAAAAAAGCACAAATTCTACACACAAAGCACTTCCTTCGTAAGGAATAATGATTTTTTAACTACTCCATCGTCAGACTCGCTACTTCCAGAAAATCACGCATCAGAACGAGCGCAATCCTTGGCTGACTTTTACGAGGGTAGCTACTCCAAGCACATGAAGCCTGAACAAGCTCTTTCGAGGCGTTAGAGAAGAAAAGGGGTTGTTTCAGAGATTAATCCCTATCCCGGAAGGAATATTAAGTAGAATAAGAATATTTTCGTCATAGTAAAATGAACGAATAAGGTAACCTCGGTAAACCGAGTAGGCTCAAGATAGTACATTAACCTTTAACTATATATATTTAAATGTACACGTATTTACCAAAATGCACAAAACAATGCTTAACAACTCATAGCACGTTATGAACCAGATATTTATGCATACATAATACGTACGTGAGCGCACACACGAGTACGTTTAAAATTCATTAGAAATGTTCGCGTTAATGGATATTCAAATAATTCAGCTGTACGCCCACCAGACACACATCCTCCATAGTTCCCTTTTACGCGTACATTACCATGTCAAATATTTCCCCCGCCATCGTTAAACTTCAAGCCCATGATATCGTAGTCATCTGCGAGTAAATATTGTAATATAACCTTAATTCCCAACTCCGCAGCGAGTCATTTTAAGTGCGAGTCATTTATAAAACTCGTGTTATCGTTTTAAAAATACAGTACTGTACGAACCCGGCACAATAAATTCCATTAAATGAGACAAAGATTTTTATTGTCAGGCCTACCTTTTGCAGAATTGAATTCCTTAGAGTCCCTAGAGTTCAACAGTATTCGAAACTCCAGCTTCAACTATGATTCCGGTTGTCAGGTTAAATTCCACTAGTGTCAGTCCGTAGCCATCTATCGGTCAATATTGTAAATATACTCATAATTTTCTAGTATACCGGCACGACCGCAATCGGAGATTATACGAACCATTTCGCATTTTCATGTTTCGAGTTTACTGTTACCACAGGTCATTCAAGTTTTCCTCCTCATTTCATTCTCGATATTACGAGATCACATTCATTCTCCACGTTCCCATGTACGTGTTACGACCGAAATCTTCTCTGGCTTCAAGTTCCACTTCGAAGGTCGAAGGGGATGAGATATCGTTTCACAAGGCACGAGATCCTCTATACCATAACGCGTCTTCGTACTAACTCTATTAGCCCATTGTTTGAAATTCTCTCATGTGTAATCTCCTTGTATCTGGCGATATTGAGGTTACGTCTGCTACTCTATATAGAGTATCTGTCGTCCGATCTGCCTGCCTCGGGCCTTTTCTCGTGAATATTCGGCAGATGTCTTCTAAAGGAACATGGAATTTGAAATAATTCGTGCTGGAGGGAAAGAGGGAAGGGGTGGCGACTGACCTTTTTTTTTATTTAAATTGTCGAAATATAGGTACATTTCTTTTCGCATTTCCATCCGCGTTTCGGTTGCGTATTATTTTGTACACATGGCACATCAATTAACTGCCGTGTAGGAATATTGAGACGAATCGTAAATTCATAAAAATTTTCTCGAAAATATTGTAACGAAGCTTCCGAGTGTTTCGATTTACAAGAAATACACTCTGCTGCGGCTAATATGATTTACCTTACAGTAAATGCATCCCAGAGAAAAATGGATTGAGCGCTTCGCTGACGTTTTTTAACTGTAACTGTAACTATTTTATGTGCAGTAATAGCTTCTTATGGCTGTCCAGAGTTTTTACGACGTCTCTCCTTATTTTGCTTTCGTGCTATAACGTAAGACAAACGGATTTCGATCACGAGCTCAGATGAATTATCGTCGGACTTTTAATAATATTCAATACTGAAAATGTAAACAATGTCAAGTCCATGTAAATGAAAAACAAATACATCAACAATGATATACATATTAATCAATTTCCGTCATCTACGTGTAATCCCTCCCTTCCGCGGTTTCGAATACAAAAATATCAATTTTCAAGAAAAAGTCAACGTGACAACTGACGTAATTCCCTTGTACTTTTTAATCTGATCCTCTTCACCCGTCACCGCCACGTCACCCGTGAAAATTCTTAGGTTAGGTTAGGTAGGTATCAATATTTTTCATATTATTTCGCGCTGCGCAAACCGCTGCACGAATTCATTTAAAAGAATTTTAAAAAATTTGAAAAAAAACCGGTATAAAGTCTAATGCTAATTTGCTTAATTAGAGCCATTGTATTTCCATTTTATTTCATTTGTCTTAAGCATAAGATTGTCAGGGCTCTACCAGCAGCAATAGCATCACGAATTCTATTGAAACTCTAATTCTCGTCTCAAATCTAACTAGTCAATACTGGCGTCAGGTTAATAAGAAGTCAAGGAAGTCAGCTTAGAGATCTAGTCCTATATTAATTGCATTTCAAATTCGGTCCATTCAATCTCACATAGCAATCAATTAGAATATTCTAAGCTTAGGCGGAACCGAAATTCTGCTATGTATACGTCTCTAAGAAAGTCTATATACCAGAAACCATAGATTTGACCCAATCCCAGAGATACAGAATTGTCATTAGCCAATAATTACTTGCAGTCCGAAAAAAGTCAAACTTCTAATATATTTAGTAACTTTCAAATTAACAATATAAAAATAAATTACATACTTAAATTAACGTTTCTAACCTGTAAAATCAAATCTTCAAACGCTTTCCAATGCTTTTATCGGTTTTTCTCTCAGTAATATACGTTTGCCATGGTTTCATAAAACTAAGCAACTGTTGTCATAGGCTATAGGGCTATTTCCATCAATTTATGTTGCGGAAATCGAGGAGCATATCCTTGATAGCCATAGAAATGGGATGTGTGGCAAGGAAATACTAGCGGCGGGAAATTTGAATCTGAACCCTCTTCTGCCAGTGACTGGAGTGAAATTCAAATTGTATGAAACCCGGCTTGGACTCGACCTTACAGGAAATCCCTGACCGAAATGCAAATATAGGGGAATATCCTGAGTTGACGGAAATAAACAGGGAGCATCGAAATTACCGGAAATTCCACAGACAAATTCGTAATTCGCGCGATTCGTCCATTTCTAAAGCAAGCCTTCGTTCGTAAATGAATATTATCCGGTTATATAGTTTTATAATTGTCTCGCGTATGTTGAATTAAACACCCACGACCCATAATAGATTTTAATTAATAGAATTTCCCTGGCATAAATCATTAATCCTAGAACCGTCGTGTGCAATTACGAGCAACTTAAGTTGTATCCGACAGGTAAGTGGAAACAGGAAGTTCTGCAATGACGTACGTGTAGATACTAAGAGTCATGCACATGCAGAGATTGTGTATAGTTCACCTATACACCTCTAAATCCAAACACTAAATTGTTATCCAAGGGGCGACTGATGTGTTGACACGGCCGGAAGTTCAATATACAGGAAGTAGCAAACCATGATAAAAGGATCATAGTTGAACCAATATTGTTATTATTCTCATTAATGATCTTCCTGTTAACGAATGATAAATGTAAATACGGGTCATAGGTCCGCTTGAATTTTTTGTACCAACGGTAAATTTTAAACATTTTCTTGTGTTCAGTCAATTAAAATTTGATTGGTAATAAATTCCTTCCGATGCTCGTAGAAGTTGGGTATTTTTAAAATTGACTGAAAACCGACGAAAAAAACATTCGATTATTATAACCAGATTTTTCAACATAGGAATCTGCGCTTATCATTTTGAATGCTGCGATCATACCATCTACGTAACACGTAACTACATAAATACCTTTTAATATGTACAGAACGTATTGAAATTAGTTTACCAATTAAACATGACTAAGCTACTTGACCCAGTTTCACCCGGATAAATGTGAGAGTGTGACGTTGAATCTATACGAAACTCATTATCAAAACCTAATAGAATTTGTAACTTAATGTTCCTGAGAATCTTAAAAAATTAGTTAGAACGAAGAGTAACAAGCGAATACGACCCGTTTTCTACGTGTACTCTTGTCTTTTACTCTGCTACTAAATGTTATAGTGTTATGAATTATGGACGAAAACCTGAGAAGATACTGAATTATAACTTTTTTTAAATTCTACCCAAATTTCGTTCAGTAGTGTCGGAACCTATCGCGGACAGACGAACAGAATATAACATCAGTCATAATTTCTTTCGTTATCAAAATTTAAAGATTAACGTGTTATTGCAGTCTGTCAGACCTCTTTCCCGTGAATATAAAAAAATCATGAAAATTGGTTCATTTTTACAAAAGTTAAGTCCGAAAATATTATTTGTTCCAGTTTCCGCTCTATCTGAACATGTATGATGTTTAGATACAGATATGGGGACGTATACATGTACAGATAATAAAAGTAGGCCTCTAACCCCCCAAACGAAGTTGCTTCCGTGCTCGCCGAATGTTACGGAAAACATGCCAAAAGCTCATTAGCCAGAGAAGTCGAACGTTAGTTAACCATCAAACAGGCCAACATTAATAAATACACTTGAGAGATAATAAACGATGCTATAGTAATGTGCGTTAAAAGGTAATGTAAAAATTTACCCAGAAGTAGCTTGAATGTCGACTTCCGGCCAGGAGGGTCGTCGCCGACAGAACATAAGGGGTGGTCGATCTGTCGGTGCTGCATTTCTTCGAAAAGAAGCAACCCTTCTCGGAGACACAGATCCACTGCTGGCTGTAGGGTGAACCGATAAACTAGGACCGGAAGTACAATCCAAAGTACGCCTACGCGTCGACAGAGAGCGCGCGTGAGGTGGCGTTACTGTTCCTGGTGGTGGTACTACCTGATAAACAAACAGAGAGGATTTACATTATATTCAATAGGAAAGAAGTCGAGAAAAACAATTTCTATGAATAACATTTAACATGATTCATAAATTAATTAATTATTTGTGATATTGAATACCTTCTATAAATTTCGATTAAAAATCAAAAGCACCCAAATTGTGTATTTATGATCAAATCTTTTCATCCCTTATATTCTAGCTACCTTAGGAAAGCCATGAGGTGTTGTGTGCTGTACGCTAACGTCGGCATTCGTGCAAGTGACACTTCCGGTAGATCCACTTCTACCGGAAGTGCCGGCTGTTGAATCTTCCCGGCTGAATGAGAACCTCTTGGGACTGAAGCTCAAGCTGGCCACGCCGTCGGTGACGTACTGCTGAAGAGAATTGAAGAAACTCATTCTTCCTTTCTTGATTGTCAATTAATTCGAAGCGTAGACGAATTGGACGAAGTTTACTAAATGGACGATTTCTACGAACTTCGCTAAGATCTTTACCGAGTGAACATAATCATCTTTAAGCGAAATTAAAACTTCCTAAGACGTAAGGGAATAACGAATTTGAATTTCGCGCCAAACCGTATTATACATTTACTGCTTCTGCATAGGTTTCGATAACAATCGATACACTCGTTCCTCTGCGTAATTCAGTTCGCTTTTCGTACCGCCCGCGTACTTTCGATCCTTAACGAAATGACTACGGTATTACAAAAACACTCCAAAACATTCACGCAAGATCGTCAGAGTTTTCCGTTTTACTTAAATTCGTCATCGAGACTGTCAAGCAAATAGAGAATTTATTATCAACGCTTTGTTGTAAATGACGACGTCTCAAATCTTCCTTAATCAATCGTTGCGTACGAGTCATCGTATAAAGTTTCGTTTCACGATAATATTCTCCTAGGTATTGTCGGGTGATACTGAATCTCTGGCAAATCGTCGCTGTGTGTGTTCGTATCTGAAACCAAAAAAGTGTCAACAACATAATTAGGTCGCAGGTCAAATAAGTTATATCGAAATGAAATCCAATATTTTCACCCACAACCACGCAACGATCTAATAATAATTTCGATTACTTAATCGTGCAGCTTATCCATGTTGGATAATAAGCAAAAAAGGGCGAACCCATAGAAAAAAAAAGTGAAAAAAGAATCTAATCATATCGAACATGAAATGAAAAAATATATATATACTATTATACCCCATTCATCAGCGAAATCAGATAGTGACACAAAGAAGCTTCGAAAACGAAATTACGAGAGGGTTAGTCCCGTGTAAACAAACACGAAATAAATTAGTTTCCGAACTAATATTGACCGAACACCATCATTGGCAAACTTGAGCTAAGTTTTGACAGTTCAACCTTCTCGGTATTTTCCTACTTCTAACACTGTCCCGAGCTACAAACAATCTTCAACAGCTCATTCGCTCTTACCTACATTCGCAAGCCACTAAACGATCTCTATCCTAAAAGATTGATTTACCTTTTACACGTCAAAATAATAACCTAACCTAACAGTCGACTAATGCAATAAACTCCGATTCTTCGTTTACAGAGAAAGTTCATATAAAACTCACAACGCACAGGAATATATGACAAAGAACGTTATTCCATGATCATTAGGTCGAATATCTATATAATTATATGTTACGTCAATTCTTTTATGTAATTAGAGATATATAGGTTACGTGCTAGTAACGGTATCGGGAAAATGTCACGTTAATTCGGCTAGATAGTTAACGCACGTATTGCGGTGAGTTTTACAGTCCGGTAAGTAAGGTTTACGATGACTACATAGAACATAGTACAGATACGAGCTATTAGTACACGTATAAACAAATATATAAATATACCTAAGCATTCGCTGAGTATACCACGTGGAAATTAATGAATTGCAGTGAATAAAATATATAATATCATTTAGAGTATCGTGGCACCTGTGTACCAGGGACCGTGCTGCACTGCGGCAGTTATATTTTTAATATGATGAGTAAAGAAAGAAAAAAAAAACCGTATCGCTCCAGTTACACCGTAGACCAAAATCAGTAAAAACAAAATATCATTCCTGCCAATAAAAAAAAGGAATTTTAATATTAAAGAAAGATGACTAGCAAAGCTACGCTGTACGTTAATGAAAAAAAATGGCGTACTGTTAAGCTACGTTCAAAAGGAATTTTACATCATGGCCATCAGGTACGAGCTTAGTGAGGAGCTTTTGTACTTGCGCAGAAACAATGTTCGCAACCGCATTAAATTAGAAAGTGAAAATTAGGGGTGTTGCCCGTGGAGCCCTTGAACTGGGTAGCAAGGGATACAGTGACTGGTCGTTTGATCGTAGAGGGTTGCCAAGGGTTGCCGAATGCTTGGAGGATTCGAAAAGGTTGAAACTACTAGAGAAGTAAATCATTGGCTGCGATGGAAGACATAGGCGACGCATGAAGGTTGTAACGAGGGTGAGGATCATTGAGTTGGAAAATTGAACCACTACTGACATATGTGTATACGAGTTAAGTGGGTGAAGGTAAACACATGTATTTATACGTGTTCGCGTACGTCTAGCAGCCGCGTGACGTATTGGCTCTGAGCTTACATCTTCGAATAGACGGAAATTTGCACAAGTTCAGAGAGTATCGAAGGTTCCCGAAGATTCACGAGCTGCGGGGTATATCGAAGTTTGATATAGCAAAGTGGTCGGTATCTGGATTACTGGATAGTTTCGTGTATACGTAGTAATTGGAGAACCGATAGGACTCGTTAGAAATACGTGAAGTCTATAAGAATTCATATAACAGTAGCACAACGTTTCTGGAACGCTATATGTTTTCAATATAAATTCAAAGTGGAGCACCGATGACTTCTCATTGCCCGGATGATTGAACGTCTCTAACGAGTTATTAGGGTTAGACAGTTTCAAGTTTAAGTACCTAGGTGCCTGGCGGCGTAGAAAGTTTTCCAAGGAGTCTAGGACTTTGGAAAGATTCGAGGATAACGAGAAACGTCAACAGGGAATTCTTGAGGATTAGGTGCCGGCAGCTGTTACGGATTGTTTGTGTTATGAAAAACGCGGAAATCCAATTGAACGCCTGCACGGAAAGAGGGAGCAGTAATGATTACCGATGGAAATTTTTAATGGATTTTTAAATGAGAAATACTTTGCTGCAAAGCAGCACTCACTGCTAGGGCTCATTGCTAACCATATACTAGTAGCCATTACTGTTCGCTTTTCTCAATGTGCAACAGGGTACAGTTCATCGAATATGAGTACGAGATTCAGAGCCTTGGCGCTGCAGGTGTTAAGCTTGCATTTAGGGTATATAATTATTCCCCATTGATTTTCGCCCTTTGACTTTGTATACCCACGTAAGTCCAAGGCATTCGGTGGCTACTGACAAGTCTGACCACTAATGGTATCGTACTACTGCGTGAAAGTGGATCCCCACGAGTCAGTCAAGTATCACTGAGAGGTCGCTCGGATAATTTTGAAAAATTTACGACGTACTAAAGAGGAGCGAGTGGCATTGGGGTGTCGCATGAAAATGAAATACAATTATTTTCAAGCGAGCTCTACCCTTGGCAGCTCTCACCGATATCGTCGTTAAGCGAATGAGAATCTAGCACGGATATTTCCAATCCGCCAAGTCTGACGCCTTAACAACCATACCTACTCGCAGAGTCGTGCTTCTCCCCTAACTCTGCAGATTATTATCGAACCCCGTGACGCAAAGCAACCCTTACCGCTGAACGACTCATCCCCCAGCCATGGACTGAACCTCCTCGACCGTAATCCCTCATCACACCGTTTTCTCGACACGCTACAAAACCCGTGAGCAAACTTTCAAGTCTTTTTTTGCCGGAACTCATTAGTTCCTTTAAACGACGACCCGTTATATTCGTTATATTTAAGAAACGCATTCCCATCACTTGTCCTAATCCATATGTGAATCTGCCGTCAATAGTAATCCCATTTCTGATACGTGACGATTTATCTTATTTCATAAATCAATTAATGATTTACTGAACATAACGAATATTTCATTATGATACAGCATTAGTTCTAATCAAACAATCATTTTCACGGATAATATACCTTCTGGCATAACCGATCTGTCACTCTCAAACGACAACAACAGTTTTCAAAATCAACCACTTTATTTCAGAAACGAAGTTACTTTCTATTTTTTAATTGACCAGTCTGTTCGATAACCAACATGTGATTTTCTCAAACTATGCACGTTCTTCTAATCTAAAAAACTCTTTCTGCAATGAACCGGTATATTTTTTGAAGGCTGCCATCCAGGATTATATCCACCCGGGTTATTTTAACATTCACCATCATCGACGAACGCCATCCAACATCTCCCTGAAGCAGATAGCCTATTTTTTAAATTGCATATCCATACTCGTCGACTGACGACACCGACAGCCAATCGCAATTCGAATAAAGCGACAACGATCGAAATTTGGATTAAAACCTGACGTGGATTTTTTTTACTAAAGTAAGTAAAGAGGGAAAAAAGTGTATATAGACCCACGCTAGCCGCACTACAGTACAATTGTAGCTTGTACACTGTTAATGAACAAAAGTTTCAGCGAATTGTACATACTGCACTCAGTAGAAGAAACTAACATACAGGAACAATAGTTCTGGGTGACGATCATGCACCTCTACTATATTCTCTGACAGTCCAGTCTGTAGTGTCTGGTGTTTGAACTGATCATCAGGCTATTGAAGCCTTGTCATTCTAAATGTATAGCGCTACTCAGAGATAACCTGGTTACAAAGCTACAGTAATGTATAGATATACGTATATGTACCGTGAACGTCAAGTAAGAATACGATCCTGAGATTTCGAAATCTATAATAACAAGTACAAAGAAAGATGGAATAAACATTTTTTTTTATAAAACATGTTTATTAAAATTAAAAAAAAACAATGCTGGATTAATTTATACAAAATATTTTCCTTAATTTATAATTAAATATTTGAAAAAAAAATGTGTATAGAAATTAGCAAATTACGTGAAATAAATGTCGTAATTAATAACATGTCGATCCAGACTGGTGTATTTGTTGCGAATATCAGAGATTTTATACAGAGTAGGCATAGAAGATAATAGATGTACAACGAATATATAGGTACTTGTATGCACGAGGATAGTCAGGCAGATTCATAAACTAGCTAAGCTGCCTATATACAGGGTGAGGCGCGAGAAACAGAACACCTAAATAACTTTATTGGATTTAAAGATACGAAGTTCGCAAATATCGTAATTTAAATGATTCGGAAGGGCGCCCATGGTTATCATAATATTTTTTTTTTATTTCATTTTTTACCAGTTTTTTCAAGGTTATCAGAGTTTTTTTTAAATGGAATGCCACATTTTTTCTCCTTACATATTGTTAACAGAAATAAAGCCAAATCTCTAACACGTCGAATTAGTATTAATTCCATATTTCTGGGTTGGAGGTCATCTGAAGGTCATACTATGTTACATGGTTGGATTCGTTTGGATGCCGGCTACAATGTGCAAGGAGAAAAAATGTGCCATTCCATTTAAAAAAAACTCTGATAACCTTGAAAAAACTGGTAAAAAATGAAATAAAAAAAAAATATTATGATAACCATGGGCGCCCTTCCGAATCATTTAAATTACGATATTTGCGAACTCCGTATCTTTAAATCCAATAAAGTTATTTAGGTGTTCTGTTTCTCGCGCCTCACCCTGTATATAGGCAGATATACACACAAGATAGTAACATGAAGCAATCAGACGTCCGAGTAAATCAACATCGACAGTTAAGACAACGAAACCTTTGAAGTCGCAGAAAGTTTTAATTAACGGGCAAGACTTGATTAAAAGCAACCTGAAGCAGCATTCAGAATCTTCTGCACAAAGCCCTGGCTGAGAATTACTAAGTCAATTGCAAATTTGTAATGATTCGTTGACATTCAGCT